TTGTACATAACCCTAAAAGTATAAATACGAGTAGCAACTATTCAAATCATTCTCTAAACTTAACTCCCAAGAAGCCTAACGAGAATGAGCCATTAAAAAACCAAGCCCAAACATGTGAGCCGCTCATCCCAGGCTCGTGCACCTGGGCCTCTTTATTTTTCTAAAATATGTAAGGGTGGACCTCTTTTTGTGAAAAGAAATTAAATTTATTGACAACCACTATTAAGCTTCTCTCATTAAACAAATTTTATTGATACCAAGTTCAATCTTTTACGTGGCTAAAATGGAATCTAGTGAACCCTTCTCTCTCTTAAATGCATAATCAAGAAAATAGATGGACCAAAGTTAACTTTTTTCACCATCCATTCTCTCTGTTTTTTTTCATTATCTTTTGATTTTATACTCGATTAACAATCTTACTTAAATTGATACTCAATTTAATTCAGAAAGGGCTGAATTTAAAACAACCGAAGTATTGGAACGGAAAAAAACAATTAGCTCATGATGTTGGATTTTAAAAGAAAATTCCGATTCCGAGATATATGAAAGAGAGGAAAATAATTGATGTTCGGAGCTTTAAAATGTATGCCATGTAAAATTATATAATAGATCATTTTTCAGTTGGTTCTAGGTTTCATTCCAGTGCATGTCAAGCAGATTATGTTGTGCATAGTTTTATATAGAAGGGTTCAGTTGTTTTGTTTTATACATCTGGCTGGTTTGTGGTCGCTTGCTGCACCCTTTCCCCTTTGGAAAATGGAAGCAGAAATTAACTTTCAGCATTCGAGGGCCACAGAGGTTAGCTAGCTAACTTTAATTCCAATTCCGACACGATTAAAGTTATGGAACATGATCCAACATCACTAGCCTCTCCTCATTCATGTGTGAGGTTGGAATCCTTCAACTGTTTTTGCCACAGTTCTTCGACTAGGTTAAGGAATTCATTTTACCAAAAAAGGATAGATTTTTGTATCATTCGTGGATATATAGTCAAAATTCCTTTTGATGTTAATAACATCATCGTAACAAAAACCTTAACTAGTAGGAAAAACACACAGCAAATACAACTCGACTCAAAAATTCATCAATCATGATGTTACCATGTCATAATTAATTTGAGATAGAGAATATGTATGGACTTTACAAATAGGTATTATCATCTAGAATACTATAATTCTCATTAGCAATTTTTTTGTACATATTCAAGACTTTCTACTAGAATTCTTATTAGAAAAAACTTGTCTAGATATTCAAGGTAGTTGTGGTTTTATTTCAATGGAGTTAATATTGTTACAAAAGTAATTAGTATGTTTGGCATTAAAAAAATATTTTTTTTGTGGTAATTATTCCAAAAATACTATCAATTTCGCAAAAAACTACTCATGCCCAGTAATGCAAGAAAAGCTAATGATAAGTTACTGATCATTATGAATATTTTTAGCATTGGGGTAGCCATTCCACCCATTTCATCAAGATAAACAAGATGTATTTCATCATAACTTGTTTCTGAAAAGAAAAAAAGTGTAGCGCCAATAAATCTATGAGATATTATTAGTAAAATGGCGTTGTTGAATTAGCAAATTCTAATAATTGTAAAACCCATATGAGATATAAAAAAACAAAACTATTCTTTTTTAAAAAAAAATTGGTCACAAAATGTTGAAACTGCAAGGATTATTTGTATTGCTCCTACTATTATCAACCATGAAGAAAATATAGAATGGGCGTGGGATAATAATTTCATATTTATTTGAACTAATCCATATGCTCCCATTTTAAATACGATTCCTGCTAAAAATATACAAGTACTGTAGTGTGCTTCTCCATGGACGTTTGATAACCATGTGTGTATGTCTAAGTGTATAATCGGTGATTGATTAACTGATGTTTCAAAATTGATTGTTGGTTTATTGGAAGTATTGAAAGCTGTAAAATTTATACTTTGTTTGCAACTGTTAAATTACACAAGTTTTGTTCTTCTATTTATAGTAGGAGATAATTATATACAAACAGGTAAGAGATAACTATGAAGGTTGAGATATACTTGAAATGATCTTAGCCTGATCCTTATCTTCTTCTGCAATAGTGGATGAGCTGAGTTTAACTGTATTATTAGTGGGTTTGACTAGGTCTCTAATACGCCCCTTCAAGCATAACGGTATGGGAAGAACGTTGAGCTTGGAACGCAGAACACCAAATCGTGAGGAAGAAAGTGGCTTGGTGAAGATGTCGGCGAGTTGATCTTTGCTGGAGATGAACTTGATGGAGAGAAGTTTCTTGGCTACCATGTCACATACAAAGTGGAAGTCAATTTCCACATGTTTCGTTCTTGCATGAAATACTGGATTTACAAATAGATAGGTGGCGCCAATGTTGTCACACCATAAGACTGGAGGTTGAGACAAACGAATGCCAATTTCAGAACATAATGACATGAGCCAAGACAATTCTGCAGCAGTATTTGCTAGTGATTTGTATTCAGCTTCAGTGCTTGATCGGGCAACTGTTTGCTGTTTGCGACAGCTCCATGATATTAAGTTCTTACCAAGAAAGATGCAATAACCCCCAGTGGATCGTCGATCATCGCGATTTCCTGCCCAATCGGCGTCAAAGAATACCTAGAGATTAGTGGATGTGGAAGCATAAAGGTGAAGTCCATGTTGGATGGTTTGCTTAAGATATCGAAGTAGACGTTTGACAGACTGCCAATGAAGGTCGGTTGGTTTGTGCATAAACTGTGATAGTTTATTTACACAAAAGGAAATATCTGGGCGTGTGATGCAAACATATTGAAGAGCGCCAATAGCACTTCTGTACAGAGTCAGATCCAAGAGAAGATCACCTTCAAAACTAGAAAGATGAGTAGAGGAAGCCATTGGAGAGCTGATCGGCTTTGCATCCGCCATTTTTGTTCATTTGAGAATATCCATGATATATCGCTGCTGTGATAGTATGATTCCCTGGTTGCATGGCATAACTTGAATACCAAGGAAATAGTTCAGTGTCCCCAAGTCTTTGACTGCAAAGTCAATGTGTAACTCTCGGAGCAGTGATTGAATAGCAGCATGATTGGAGTATGTGATAATGATGTCATCTACGTAAATTAATACCAACATGAGATAATCAGTGGAGCGAGAAATGAACAAGGAAGTGTCTGACCGTGAGCTGATGAAACCAAGTTGAATTAACTTGGAGCTTAACCGTGAAAACCAAGCCTGTGGGGCTTGTTTTAAGCCATATAAGGCTTTGTGCAGCTTGCAAACATGAGATTGGTGTTAGGGATGAATAAAGCCAGGCGGTTGTGTCATATAGACAACCTCAGTTAACGTTCCATGTAGGAATGCATTTTGTATGTCAATCTGATATATAGGCCAGCCACTACAAAGAGCAAGAGAGAGAACCAGACATACCGTGGTTGGTTTTATCATAGGACTGTAAGTTTCACCATAGTCTAGTTCAAGTTGTTGGTGAAAACCTTTTGCTACAAGTTGTGCTTTATAGCGATCAATGGAGCCATTTGCCTTTCGTTTTAACCGGAACACCCATTTACATCCAATGACATTTGATGCTTCTGAAGGGGGGACTCGAGTCCACGTTTGATTTTGCAGTAATGCATCAAACTCAGTATTCATTGCTATTCTCCAACACGGGTTTTGCATGGTAGTGGAGTAACAAGTGGGTTCCATGGCTGGTTGAGTAGATTCAGTGAGAAGGGCTCGGGGTAAGGGATAACAAATAGTGTCATCTATATGAATTTTGGGTTTGATGATAAGGTTCTTTGCACGTGTGGTCATGGGGTGAGTTGATGAGGGGAGGGGTGTTTGTGAGCTGGTGTCTGGGATAGTTGGATAAGATGGATCAGGTGGGGGAGGAGGGTTTAAGGAATCTGAAATAGATAATAAGGGATTGGGTGATGATGTTGTGTTAAGAGTCCGTTGGATGAGATTTTCTATTGATGATGGAGTGTCCAAAGGAGATGCTGTTATGGGCTGATAGTCATGAGAAATGAGTAATGGACTTGGATTGTTGAAGACCTGCACAAATATGTTAGGAGACAAGGAGGATAGAGGAGAAGTAGACGTGCATGGAAAAGAGTTTTCATTAAATACTACATCCCGGGAAATATAAACTCTATTTGATGGTAAGTGAAGGCATTTGTATCCTTTATGAAGGGGACTATACCCTAAAAAAAGACACAGTAGAGACCGTGGTTGGAGTTTATTTTTATTGTAAAGACATAAGTTTGGCCAACATGCACAACCAGAAGTGCGTAAAAAAGAGTAATCAGGTTCACGATGGAAGAGAGTGTGAAAAGGTGAATTATTTTGGAGCACAGGAGTGGGCAAGCGATTAATAAGATAGCATATCGTAGAGAATGCATCTTCCCAAAATTAGAGAGGAACTTTGGCATGATAAAGTAAAGCTAGGCCAGTTTCGATAATGTGTCGATGTTTGCGTTCAATTTTGTCATTTTGTTGATGTGTGTGTGGGCAAGAGACATGATGGGAGAATACCAAGAGATTGAAGTAGTGTGTGAAAGGGACGGTATTCACCACCCCAATCAGATTGGACTGTACGAATTTTTTCCTTGAAAAAGCATTCAACATAATTTTTAAATTTTTGAAAAATTCTAATGACATCACCCTTACACTTACAGTAAATGGGATACAACCGTAAATGGGATACAACCAAGTGTATGATCAGATGATCCGTTTTGGAAGGAAGTTGAAGATATGAATGATGGAAGCATGAAGTGTAAGTTTTGCGGGCATTTATTTGCCAATGGCACTTCCATTTCGAGGATCAAATGACATTTATCAGGAGAGAGAGGGCATGGTTTGGCATTTGTGGTCAGGTGCCTAAAGAAGTTCAAGAAGCAGCCTTTCTAGCGATGCATGTTGGCAACAAAAGACATAAAAGCATAGCAAGTTCAAGCAATGGTAATGATTATACCATTTCCACCTGTCTACAAGAACAAGACAATGCAGTACTTGGTAATTTGGCACAAGGTGTTGGGCCTGAGAGAATTCATTCGCGTTTAGAAGCGGCAAATGGCATGGAATACAGTGGTGAAGGATCTTTTCAGCATGTTGACAGAAGTGTCTCTCCTTGGAGACTCAGAGTTGATGCTCATGAGAATAGAGGAGAAGCAACACCAGTAACAGATTTAGTGGATTAATTTGCTGATGGTACATGGGTTCAGATACACTCTGCCCTTTCAAAGGAGCAGAAGCTGAATGCAATCTCTACCTATTTAATGCTGGAAGAGGAGGATGTGGAGCGTCTGCATGATGGATTTGAAACTATACCGAGAACAGAACAAATGCAGCATCTGGAGAGAGGTATCTCTTGTGAGAGGCCATCAATTAATCAAGCTGATAAGCCTCGAGGAGATTCATCCCAACCATCAGATCCATTGTGTCTTGACCATGGAAGATATTATCGTCAACTCTGTGCACCTTCACTAAGCAAAGATGTCATTATGTATGATGTGCAGAACATGGTTAGAGCGAGGACAGAACCAGTAGAGGAGGAGGGTGTGGAGAATAGTGGAAGATTAGTACAGCATGGCGCAGGAGCTAGATCTTCTAGATGTCTTAAATACAACACAAGTGAGACTAGAGGAGTTCCATTACCTACTAGCTCTAAAAAGCTAGTGGGTCGAGCATTTGAAGAGAACATAAAGGTGATATGGTCTTTGTTAATGGATGATGAAGTCTCAATTATTGGCATTCACGGGATGGGGAGAGTTGGTAAAACAACAATACTACAACATATCTAGAATTAGCATTAGTTCATTGCAGAATCTTATTGCTAAATGTCTTGATCTAGAATTTTTAAGAGAAGTTGATGATGTGTATAGAGCTGTCAAATTATCAGAAGAATTAATGAAGAAACAAAAATGGATTCTCATTTTAGATGATTTGTGGAACAATTTGAGTTTGACAAAGTGGGAATTCCAGTCTCGTTGAAAGGATGCAAGCTGCTTATGACAACTCAATCAAAAATGGTTTGTCATCGGATGACTTGCCACTGCAAAATCAAGGTGAAGCCACTCTCTGAGGGAGAAGCTTAGACTTTGTTCATGGAGAAACTTGGACGTGGCATAACACTTTTACCAGAAGTGGAAGGAATTGCGAAAGCTGTTGCAAAGGAATGTGCTGGTTTACCAATGGGAATTATTGTAGTGGCAAGAAGCTTGAGGGGAGTGAATGACCTACATGAGTGAAGGAATACATTAAAGAAATTGAGAGAATCAGAATTTGGGGATAGAAGAAGTATTCCGGTTATTGAGATTTAGTTATGATCGGTTAGGTGATATAGCACTACAACAATGTCTTTTGTACTGTGCATTATTTCCCGAAGATTATATGATTGAAAGGGAGGAGTTGATAGATTATTTGATCGACGAGGGAATAATTAAAGGAAAGAGGAGAAGGGAAGATGCATTTGATGAGGGCCACACGATGCTTAATAGACTTGAATATGTCTGCCTATTGGAAAGTGCTCAAATGGATTATGATGATAGTAGACGTGTCGAGATGCGTGACTTGATTAGGGACATGGCCATCCAAATAGAAAACTCTAAAGTCATGGTTAAAGCAGGTGCGCAATTAAAAGAGATACCAGATGCAGAGGAGTGGACAGAGAATCTCACAAGAGTCTCACTAATGCTGAACATGATCGAAGAAATTCCTTCCAGCCATTCACCAATGTGTCCAAGTCTGTCCACTCTATTTCTATGTGATAATGAAGGGTTGGGATTTGTTGCGGATTCATTTTTCAAGCAATTGCATGGGCTCATGGTCCTTGATCTGTCTCGCACAGGTATTAAAAATTTGCCAGACTCTGTCTCTGATTTGGTGAGTCTCACTGCATTATTGCTCAATTATTGTGAGAACTTAAGGCATGTTCCATCATTAAAGAAGCTCAGGGCACTGAAGAGGTTGGATCTCTCTCATACTACGCTCGAAAAGATGCCGCAAGGAATGGAATGCCTAACCAACCTAGGGTATCTTAGAATGAATGGATGTGGTGAAAAGGAGTTTCCTAGTGGGATCTTACCAAAACTCTCTCACCTGCAAGTCTTTGTACTAGACGAATATTATCGTCCGATAACAGTTAAAGTAAAGGAAGTAGTATCCTTGAGAAATTTGGAAACTTTGGAGTGCCATTTGGAAGGTTTTTCTGACTTCGTGGAGTATCTCAGATCTCGGGATAAGACCCAATCATTAAGCACATACAGAATTTTAGTAGGAATGGTGGATGAAGATTTTTGGCAATACGGTGATTATTTTCCGAGTAAAACAGTTGGGTTGGGTAATTTGAGTGTCAGCAGAGATAGAGATTTTCAAGTCAAGTTCTTAAATGACATTCAAGAACTGGTTTGTGAAAGCATCGATGCAAGAAGTTTATGTGATGTTCTGTCATTAGAGAATGCACCTGAACTGGTGGTTATCCAAATTTACGATTGCGATAGCATGGAGAGCTTGGTTTCATCTTCTTGGTTCTGCTCTGCTCCACCACCATTTCCATCATATAATGGTATGTTTTCTGGTCTTAAAGAGTTTTATTGTAGTGGATGCAAGAGTATGAAGAAGTTGTTCCCACTTGTGTTGCTGCCAAACCTCGTAAACCTGGAAAGGATTGAAGTGATGCTCTGTAAGAAAATGGAGGAGATAATAGGAACAACAGATGAAGAAAGCAACACCTCCAATTCCATCACGGGATTCATTCTCCCAAAGTTAAGGACTCTGAGACTGAGATATTTACCAGAACTTAAAAGCATCTGTAGTGCAAAATTGATTTGCAATTCTCTTGAAGATATTACTGTAACGTTTTCTAAGAAGCTGAAGAGGATGCCAATTTGTCTTCCGTTGCTTGAAAATGGCCAGCCATCTCCTCCCCTTTCTCTAAGAATAATGTATATAGAACCAAAAGAATGGTGGGAGACAGTAGTGGAGTGGGAGCATCCTAGCGCAAAGGATGTCCTTCGTCCCTTTGTAAAGTTTGGGTTAGTTTGAGAAGCCATCTCATCCTTTCGTTGTAAGAATACTAATAGATTGTAACCTTAAATTTGCTCATATTCAATAATTTATCATTCTTTCAATCATTTTTGTTAAAAATCATGTGCAAAACAAAATTATTTTCGATATGAATGATGAAAATAGTCCTTTAAATAAACAAGGATATTTTTATTAATTAATATTGAAATTATTTGCATGATGCTTTTGGATTAAAGATGCTCGATGGGTGGATTTGGATCGGTTTGAAATGGTATTGCCAATTCCATATTTCAAAGAAAATCGAAGCCTAACATGAATCCATAGATAGAGCGTTTATTAATATGAAATACTTCTTTTTTATATAGTGTGCTTACAATTACATAAATAACATTTTTCATTTTTTTTATTTCATGAAGTAGTAGTAACACGTGTATGCACTAAGGAGATCAAATGAGGAAGGCTAAGATGCTCTATTAAATGCCTTTGAGAGAGTATGAATTGAACATTCATTTTTTGTTGGATGAGTTTTGGTTTCTAAACCTGAAACTGCCATCATAAGCACTAGCCGATGAAGTTTGTATGAGCTTTTCTTGTCGTTCTATCACATTTTTCTGCTACAATAATGCTCTTTGTATTCTCTGCTACTATGGCCTATAGTCTTCTTACCTCCGGCATCTTTTCCAACCTGTTTGAGGGATGCTTTCTAATTTTTTTTCTTGGATTGTAAATATGTTGTTCACCTGCACAGCTGAACAGAGTTGACCTAGGAACCCGGGAGTTATGGTGATAGAGGATCTGGATCCTTTTCGAGAGAAAGTGAGTTCAACTTTTACATTTTTTTTACATTATCTTGTTGCTCCAAATCAAGAAGTTTACTAGACTTATTATATACTCTATAAATTTGCTTTCTGAGTGCTGAGCATTTTATACGACCATGTGATTGGAGAGATTTGATTCTCATATAATTGTTGGCAGCTTATTTGTGAGCCAAGAATATAAAAATGCTTTCATTCTTTGTTGTGGGCTGGAAAGTGAGTTGAACATTTATTACCTGAGTGTTCTTCTCCATTTTATTTAATTTAAGAAGCATTTCATGATTTTTTCTCTAATTTTATTAAGTTTTTTCTATAAGCCTGATAATTTGTCAGATAATTTTAGCAGGAGTCATTACATATGTATGCTGGTCAAAAGTCATTCCCATCAATACGATGAAGTAGTGAACAATTTTTTTTTTTTTTGGTTTCTGCTAACGATTTGTTTCCACTTTCTAGTATACCATGGTGACCTAGGTATGTTTTTTACGAGATGGTTATGAGTATTTTTCCAATCTGCTGGGGGTGATCTTGGCGGGCTTCGGCTAGGAGCATGGTTACTTTTAATCTTGGGCTTTCGGCGAGGCTTCACGCTGCTACCTTTTATTTGGCAAAATTCTGTTCAATTTAATTCATTAAAAATAATTGAAACTTCGAAGGTTACATACGATATTGGAACCAGAAAGTGGCTTTGCTGTGTTTTCTAAAATTTTGATCCCTAAAGTTTTTGCATTTTGCATTTTGATTTTAAGTTCTGACCCAAAATTTTTATTTTATTTACTTTTTAGTTCATGAATATGAGATAAAAAAATCAGCGAAAAACTCAGGAAAAAAATAGAAAGTTATTGGTTGATAATTTTCGGACAAAAAAAGCACAATCTCTGTATTAATAGAAAACTGGTGTGCGGGTTGTATAGCAAATTATACGGGTGTTTTTGAAATTGTAATAACATTACGGTTTGAATTGCTTTTTTATTTAAAAATATATTAAAATAATATTTTTTTTATTTTTAAAAATATTATTTTTGATACCATCACATCAAAATAATTTAAAAATAAAAAAAAATAATTTTTAGTAAAATACAATTCAAAATTAAAAAAAAAAACCATGATTTGCACAACATACTAAACAAAACTTTTATAATAGATGTTGAAGTTTCCTACTGCACTAAAGATCCCTCTTATTATTTGAAGCTAATGCTTGATTGCTTTCGTGGGGTTTCTACCCCCAGAATATGAAGTTATTTTCTAATTAAGGCTTTCTGCCCCTCTCTCATATAAACTGAAAAACGACAACATACTTTTCCTAGCCCAGCAGTGGTTCCACAAGCCTTCTGCTGTCAGCCTAGTTGTGATATAAAACAATTTGAGTACATATCTAAAGGAATAGCATATTTATAATAAGCTTTTACAAAGATCAGATATTTATAATCTTATTTGGTGTGTGTTTATGTCTCAAGATTCCAATTGCAAAATCTTATTACTAAATATTATTATCTATCTCTTTTAAGTTAAGATGATATCTGAATAGAACTGCTAAATTATTATAAAAACTAATAAAAAAATAAAAATAAAATTTTATTTTAGATAATTTATTGAACAATTTTGAGCTATACAAAGTGAGAATTTCAGTCCCATTAAAAAAATACAAATTAATTATGACAACTCAATCATAAACAATTTATCATCAGATGGCTTTACCACCGCAAAATTAAAACCACTTTCTAGGAAAGAAGCTTGGACTTTGTTTATAGAAAAACTTGTACATGACATAACACTTTCATTAAAAGTGGAACGAATTGCAAAAGGCAGGAACCTTGAGAGAAGTGGATGGCCTACATGAATGGAGAAATACATTGAAGAAATTGAAAGAATTGAAATTTAGGAAAGTATTCAAGTTATTGAGGTTTAGTTACGATCAATTAGGTGTTTTAGTAAATACAACATTGTCTCTTATACTGCATTATTTCCTGAAGATTGTATGATTGAAAGGGAGGGGTTGATAGGTAATTTGATAGATGAGGGAATAATTAAAGGACTAAGGAGCAAGAAAGATGCATTTGACGAGGGCCACAAGATGCTTGAAAGTATTTTAATCATAACTTTCCACTCACATTTCGGATTGCTGTGATTCTTGATGCGTTGGAAAGGTTTCGTAAAGGGCTACAAAGTTAGTCCCTGATGAAAAAGGAGGGCTGCCTGCTTTTGAAAAAGGGGGCTGCCTGCTCTGTAAAGGGGGCTATTTGGCATAAAGAAGATGTGTGGGAATCGCACTAGAGAGAGGGGATAAAAAAAAGAGCATAGATGAGGAAAGGAATGACTAACACAGTGATGGGTAACTAAATTGTTAAGATTTCTAATTATTGTAACTCTTTTGTTTTATCATTCTCAATTTGTTGTTGAGAAGTTTTCTTCTCCGGATTTATGCAGTTTATGGATTCGTTCATGCCTTTTCTATTGAATGGATTAATCTTTGGATCATTTATTTACCTGTATTGATTTAATTTCTTTGCTTTAATATTGCTCCTTAAATACATCGTCGTCATTGGATTTTCTTAATAGGGATAATTATTTATTTTCAAAAGGGTTATATTAATTTGGTTTAATGTTGATTTAATTAACTATATACCTTTTAAGTGGGAATTTTGGGAATTCAACTTCGAATTGAGTTATTCAACAAAATAAGAATAATTAAAATATCAAATGTGTGCAAGGGATTCCGACTATCCATCTGCTTTTTGTAGGATTTAAGTACTTTTTTCATTAGTCACTTTGCTTTATTAAATTACTTTTTGTTCTCTATTAAATCATTTTATATTTTCATTTATTCTTTTAATTTGCTTCAATTACCGTGTTATTAATTTTTGGGTGGAATCAGGTTTCTAACACACAGAATGTGAAATTATTTTCTCAAGGCTTTCTGCCCTCTCTCTAATAAACTAAAAAACGGCAACATACGTTTTCTAGCCCAGCAGTGGTTCCACTAGCCGGCAGGTAACAGTACGCTGGAGATATCTACTGCTGCTCAAAGTCCAAAGAACAACGGTTCTGCCAACACTGTTATGCCGCAATCAAAAAAACATAATTTTTTTTATATTTAAAATTATGTTTGAGTGTATTTAAAAATCTGTTTATCTTGGAAAATTGTGAGATTGTTTGATTTACCGGAACTGAAAAGTATTTGCAGTGCAAAAATTGATTTACAATTCTCTTAGAGATATTACTGTAATGCATTGTAAGAAGGTGAAGAGGATGCCAATTTGTCTTCTTTTTTATCTCTCAATGGAAAACTCATGACATCAAATAGAATAACTTCAAGAAAAACTAAAACGGAATAGGAAGCTTACGAGTAGTTAAGAGACGTATTCTAAAATTTAGTTTATTGTTTACCTTATAATTTTTTGCATTTTTTATTTTGATTTAAAATTTTATTTTGTTTATCTTTTAGTTCATGAGTTTGAGATGAAAGGGGAAAAAAATCACACAAAAAAAACTTGGAAGAAGATAAAAAGTTATTGATCGACAACTTTCCGGCAACAAAAACACATACAGTATCAATGGAAAACTGGTGTGCGGAATGGATAGCAAATCAAGCTTCATAGTAGATGTTGAAGTGTTCCACTGCACTGAATCTCCCTCTGGTTGTTTGAAGCTAAAGATTGATTGCTTTCCTGTGGTTTTGATGATGAGTCTATGAAAGTGCATTCTATCATTGGAATAAAATGCTAAAATGTGAATAAAAATAATAGACATTAAACAGACAAGTCAAGGCCCAGGAGTAGTGAAATTCACTCTGAACCAGCCTGCTAGCACTTTAGTATCTTAATCATAACTTTCCACTCACATATCGGATTGCTGTGATTCTTGACGCGTTGGAAAGGTATCTTGAAGGGCTTTAAATTAGCCTCTAATGAGGATTTCGAAAAAGGAACTCCTAAAGTGTTTGTGACACAACGGGGATCATGGAGACGTGATGAAAAAGGAGGTTGAAGATGCCTAATCTGAAAAGAGGGGCATTTGGCATAAAGAAGACGCGTGGGAATTGCACCACAGAAGAAGAAATAGAAGAAACAAAAAGGGTTTTATGTAGTTTATGGATTCAGTCATGTTTTCTCTATTAAATCGATTAATTCTTTATTATATTTGAGTTATTAAACGAAATAAGAATAATTAAATTACCAAAGGTGTGCAAGGATTCCCGACGCTCTACTGTTTGTAGAATTCCGGTGGTGCTTTCTCCATGGGTCACTCTGCTCTATTTTAATTTGCATTTAAAATTAAATTTTATTCTCTATTAAATCATTTACTGAAGTTCGGAGCTTTAAAGTGTATGCCATATATGTACACTTATATAACAAATTAATTTTCATTGTCTCGACATTTTTCCTCGTTTCTAATTCTTCACCTGCATTTCCCAAGCAATATTTTATAATTATTAGGGGAATAACTAGTGGTATAGTATTAGTTATTTTCTAGATTCATTCAAAAAAAAATACAAAAAAAATATAAAATTCATGACTCATAAAAAATAATAAGAATATTTTCATCTTGAATTTTTCTTTTTCTAGTTGTATCTCTTTATTTTTTTAAAAATAAATATATAAAAAAGTAATGAAATATCATTAATTAATCTATAAACACTATCAAATTACTCTCGAATTATTTACCCTGGAATTTGGATGATCTATAATTCAAAGCGGGCATGCTGCATTTCTTTGTTAGGGTTTTTATCCTTTCTACTAATTTATATAAATATAGGATTTAGAATCTTGATGAATGAAACTAGCATTCTCGATTTCTTGGGATAGAAAGAAGTCAAGAACAGAATTATTATTAAAATTAAAAAAGAAAAAACTCCTCAGGCTTTTACCATGTACCAGGAGAGAAAACACTATCTATTAAAATAGCTTTTTATCTTTTAATTTTTTTAATAACTAATTATTTTATTTTCAATTTTATCATTATAGATTACGTTTATAGATTATGTTGATGGAGATTTAAGGCTGATAACTTGTTTCAATTAACTAGTATGTGGATTAGATACCAAATCATACTTTATAGATCGAGAGCTAAAAATATAAATTTATAGAAGGAAATTGAAAAAAAAATAATTTCCATGATTATGAAAAATTGTACAATCACAATATAATTTTTTTTAATATAAATATTTGAGTTAACTTACATGTATATGTAAAGCAAGGCTTATAAAAGTAACCAAAAAAAATTGTAATTTTTAAAATCTGAATATTTGGGTATTGGTGATCTTGTTAGCTGGACATGCTTTCGTCTTTCCTATCCCTTTTTTTTTTTTTTTTACTTTTGTATGCTTTCCTCAGTTGCTAATATCCACCTCAGCATGTAGCATCACTCTGATATAAACAACATGGGTATATTGGTAAAATAGAAAAATATTCACTATAATTTGTCTCACAAAAATTTCATGGTTAAATAAAATCATTCTGCTCTAATATACACACTCAAAGGCAGAAGCATAAGAACTACACCTTAAACCCTATTTGTACACATCTTATACCCTATTTATTTTTACATTTTTAAAATATTTTAAAAAAAAATTAAATGTCAGAACTGGTTTATTTTTACAGTTACAATGTAATTTTTTAAAATACTTTTTTAGTATTTTTTAATTATTTTGATATTATGATATAAAATATAAAAAATATAAAAATATTATTTTAATATATTTTTAAATAAAAAATAATTTTTTAAAAATTTTACAGCATGCATAAATATTCTATTTACATTTTCTTGGCAGCTTCTTCGAAGTGTCATGTTTACATTTTCTTGACAGCTTCTTCGAAATGACAACATTGGGGCGGGTCCACACGTTAACTTTCTATATCTTATAATGTAATGTTTGGGTTGCTTCCTCGCAACTTCCTTCCTGTCCAACAATACGAAAATTAATTATTATTGAGGTGAGCTTACTAATAATAGTATGTAACGTTCTCTTCCACATCTCATCTCATGATCTGTGCGAACTAGATTTATGTATACTGCATATTTATTATTTTTCTAAGCCATAAATTCTTCTCTGATCTGTGATTTCTCTTCCTTTTCTTTTGGCTGATCACTGCTTAAGCAAACCAGCTAGCACTTGAAGAACATCTTGAATCCAGGTAAATTAATTGTACTCCATCTTGTCTGAATCTTTAAAGTAATCCATGATAAATAAATCGATCTTTTTCGCAGATTTTGTAATCCTTGCCCTGTGGTGTTCATACTAAATTAACTCTAAACCTTGAATTCATTGTTTTTGTCTTTTCAAAATTCTTCGCTGTTTTTAACTCCTTATATATGGGATTTCTTTTCCAATACTAGATTCTGTAATCCATGCCCTGTGGGACTGCCATTAATTATTTTTATCCAATTTTTTCTGACATAATGATTCAATGAAATTGTCTCTTACTCATTCATGAATTAACTTGATCAGTATTAATTACCTTTCATTAAACTTGTTTACAACAAGTGACAAATAATTTAGCATTCAAACAAAGAATTAAATAATTAACAGCAACATTTATATTTCCTGTTTTTCATCCGAATTTCTGTAACATATAAATAAGTCGTGTGTGTGTGTACAGATATTCTTATCTAATCTATATATATTCTTATCTAATCTGTGCTTTCTGTTCTTTTTTAAACCTCAGATGGAAGGAGTCCCACCGTCTTGTAATGAGGATGATGTCAACTTGACATCGAATCAGTTCGATTTTCAATCACCAGAAGATTCATTCAATATTTCTGAGTTTCTCTTGTACGTCGTTCTTAAGCATATTTTATCAGAAGATGATTACTTGCAATTTAGTTATTCTACAGTTAATTTTTCTTATTATTCCCAAAAAAGAATAATGTTCCTAATAACAAATTAAGCAGGTCGCCACCGGAGGTTCCAGGCAACCAAAGCTTCATGTTATGCAATGATCATGTTGGACAGAACATGGTGGGGGATAACAATGTGATCAACGATAGTATTCAACAAACAACTGATCAGTTTCCACCTTCATTTCCTCAAACCATGGTGAGTGCTCATGCCTACTCCACCTTGCTACAATGTCCATTGAATTAGCAAGTGTTTGTATCACCCATTGGATAAAAAAGTTTTATGTTTTCGTGTATCAATTTATCTCGAGCATCTTCAAAATGTTTATTGTTAAACAAACAGACAACAATGGGAGATTTAGATGGAACATCATCGTCATGGATCAACCAAAATGAACCAAATTGGCCTCAAGCTCCATCAAGGTACATAATATTCATCATTATTTAACTTCTTCTTGTTCACACTAAATGAATTCATTATGTTTGAATATAGGTATCTGCCTAATTTATTTCATCCTCAATGTGCCAATCCTTTGAGGTAAGCTAAAATGATATCAAATGCTTAGTGGATTAATAGCAAAGAATTATGCATATGTATCAAGAAATCACTAACAAATGTTGCTTATTTAGGGACCAACAATGGACTAATTATCAGTTACCAATGAGCAATCAAGTGCCTGCGATGAATCAATGGTATTAACCTCGAATACATATACACTCTTTTAATCATGAAAACAATAAACTTGAAAAATTGACGAGGATCTTTCAAGTCTTTTTGAGCTCTCTATCTCTCTTTTTTTGTGTGCCCATAATGGAAAGAATTATGAACATCAACCAAGTTAGAATAACAGTTCTAAGTTTGAATATTATTCAGGCATCAGTCCTCCAATACTCATCAACCACAGCCGGGACATGGCTATATGACATCGAACGCAACCACTTCAGAACTTTGTGGCAACCACATTCAACCTGGACCTTCTTTTCCTGCTCCCCGGTATCCAATTTTTCATGTTTAGTATTTTCTATATAAAAAAAAATTAGTTTTTCAATCAGGAAACAAACATCATAGCTTGAACATGAACCCAACAAGCTAAATATATTGTTTGCAAATGATTTTGGATTCAGGAGTCAATATTTTTCTAATCAAGGACAAGTCGATCGAGCTGCTGTAATTCCTAACATAGACAATGTCCAACAAGAGAACTTCATGCCTAGGTACTGATTGACTTCTAGCTGTTGTGGTTGAACACCATTAACTTTTACTGCTTAAGAGAGACTACCAATTATGGAAAGGTTTTATAATATGATCTCTTCATTTATATATAGGTCACAGATGGATAACCTCCAAGTCCGAGGATTGCAAAATCAAACTGCTAGGCCAAATGCCTCAAATCCTGGCCTTGGCACTTCCCTGCAAAGTCAAAATAGGGGTTTAAATACTCAGCAAGTAAGAAGTACAACTGAATTATCGTAGTCTTTTTCCCTCCTATGATTGTGCAATGAACTAACTATCAATTT